TGTACTAATCTTTTAGAGACTTAATTTGATATATGACAAAATACCATCTTTCTTCATGGGGCAATAAGAACAAGCTCCATGGCCGGTAAGAATTAAAATATTCATTATCAGTTTCACTACAAAGAATGAATTTAAAACATGTAGTTTTGAAATGTAGATATTTTCAAAATGGAATCCTCAACAGTGTACACAGAAGGATGAGGAAAGAGAAAAACCATAGATGTCCATACAGTGCTACAAATTTCTTACATTTGGGCTCACTTAAACCACACAATACTCTTCTTACGATGGTAGAATTAGTTTATTTTATAATTATTTTATTTTACCTTGTAGAAACTAATATTGACATGTCAATATACTAATAACAGTTAAAATTTAAAATAATGAATTCATCAACTGACAACAAATTAAGTTCCCTTTGCTGTCTACGAACACTAATTTCTGAATTTTTACTCAGAATCTGTGGATAGTTTGATTTAACATAATGGACACGTTTGCCATATTTTTTATTTCAAAATAAAATCCATAAGTTGACGTGGGAAGTTTGTTTATAAATCTAATTAACAATCATGGAACAATGGAATACAAACAGGCAAATCTTAGACTTCTGCAGTCTAACTCAACTCTGCTAAGGTCAAATTTTTAAATGAATTAAATTAAATGCTCCTGAAGGAAAAAAATCACCCAAACTTAATTCTGTTTTTAGAACTAAGGCCAAGGAGATTAATTTCTCTTAGTATTGTAGAATTACCCTCTATTTGAGGGACAAGTGGGTTTGGCAGAATGTTCAATGATCTCACCAAGAGCCTGTGCAGTGTAATGACATACACTGGACGACTACATATTACGGTAGATGATACCACTGATGGATAGTGTACAGCAACCTGACATGGTTCAGTTTGGAAAACCAAAATGCACTCATTAATCCCATAAAATAGTGAGGAATGATGTGACATTTTGAATACTGTGAAAAAGGAACAAAGACATTCATATGTTCTTTTACATTTAATATATTCATTGAGAATCTCTATTGCACTGGAGACTACAAGAAACATATTGAAAATGAGGTATGATCCTTTCCTTTAGAGACTGTTGAGAAGGGACATAAGACAAAAAGTTATAGACAAATAACATGAAATGTGAGAAATAAGGTGAAAAAGAGGATAAAAGTTGTGGCATAAAGGATATCAGAGAAGGGCATTCTCACACTTAAACATGGTTCCCAAAAGAAACTTCATGGAAAAAGATGGCATTTTAGGTGTTCTTGTCAGAACTGTGGATAGGATTTCAACTGAAACAGAAGGGAGGGATTCAAAAAAAAGAGGAAGTGAGATGTTACAAGTTGGTTTGGGAACGACAAATAGGTCAGTTTAACCAGAGCACAGAGCGCATCTCAGGCGCTGAAGCCTTAAAAAGTAAAGCTGACAGAGGTGAAGTTAGCTTAACAGTACTGTTGAGGTCAGTTCAGCAGGGTACAGTCACTGAGGTTTACTTCAGAAAACTGCACAACCCAACTAAAAGGCCTTAGAAGGACAGACTGGAAGGAAGAGAGATTGAAGCCTGGAATTCCACTTAGGAGGTCTCTTTTAGTGGGTCAGGCTTTGTATATGAAAGAGGGGTAGAGAGAAAGAAATAAACATTTATTAGAAACTCAGTGTGTATGAGGCATCTATTTAACTGTATTAGGTATAACATCCTAAAATACTTGAGAAATGTAGAAGACATTAAATCCAATGTTCAGCAAAGAAATTGAAGCACAAAGAGATTACGTTTGGCTTAGGTTAGAGTCAGCAAAAAGAGGGGCTAGAAGATGAGACTATAAAGCCCATATCATTCCTACTACACCAACTTGATAAAGGGCATTCCTTTCATGAGCTCCCTGCAATTCAGAATTAGTTATTCACTAGTATAGCTGTTCCTCTAGTATAAACTTAGTGGTAAACATATGTAGCAGAGGAATGATTCTAACACTAGACAGATCATCTTTGAAAAAGAAAATAGGGAGCTACTTCTACACTTAGCCATCACAGAAACTTTCTTGCTAGGCAGAGCTTCCAACACGTGGACCACGTCTCATTTGTCTCTCAATCTCCAAAAGCAAAAGCTGCTGAGCTGAATCAAACCTGTGACTTATGTTACATATTTTCTGTTCTCAACAGAAGCTCCAAGGAAACAAAATAGTTTACTTGGTTCTAAGATTATAATCTAGAGTTGTTTCTACTAATGAGGCCCATCTCAAACCCCGGGGCAAATTCTGTGTATAGTGAGAATACAAGGATTACAACAGGAGCTCAGAAAGATGGCATCAAGTCTCCCTGCTGCCAGTCCAGTTCGTTCATCCAGTTGTTGATTCTGAATCAAGCTCTTCCAACTTCCAGTAGATGCAACCTTGTCTTCTTCCAGGCAAGTATCCAGCCTTGGAACATTGCTCATATTTCAGTTCCTTATTTCTTCAATGAATTATGATACATGGCCCAGACTTTTCTGATACCTGCTCTCTGTCTGCTGTGGCCTGCCAGGTTTCATTCATGAAGTGGTCTGCTTAGATGCCAAATCCATACCCTGGGCTGCAGGGACTGACGTAGATCTGAATTGTTCTATCTATTCTACAAAGGCAACCACCAGACTCTAATACAGTGATGGTGGTGAATCTTTTAAAGCTTTCAAGGATACAAACATCCCACTGTGGTATGCATGTCACAGGTTCGTCAACACTGCTCTAATTCTTCCTGGTCTAACCACTGCTTCTGCTTGATGCGGAGTCTGACTAAAGTTATCAGAGTAGTGGTAATTCTATTACTTAAATAACACTTGCTATGTGCCAGGCACAGTTTTACCAGTATTAATTCTTATAATCATATAACTATTAGCCCACTTTATTGTTAAAAAAACCAATAAAAACCCAATGCTGAAAAGTTAAGTTATTCAGCTAATGGGACACTATTTACAAGTGGTAGAACCAGGATTGGAACTCTAACATTCTGGCTATAGTTCACATTCTCTTCAATATTATGCCCCCGTCAGTCTAATGGCAGAAAGAAGATAAAGAAGATGGCACTAGTGAATGTACTCACTACTCTAGATGCCTCATTAAATACAATTGATGCAATAATGACACTAATAAATATTAATTTAATCATTAACACTTAGCTATAACTCTGAACCTAAAATCAGTTGGAAAGAGGCTCTTACGTGAAGTTGAAATTTTAATACGTGAGTATTTGCATGCCAAATGAAAACCTACACATACTCTGAATTTTGAGAAGTCTAAAAAGACAGTGGAATTCACATATATTGCTATTACACCTAGTAAAAATAATTTAAGAATACTAGAAGTCATAATCATGAATATGATTTGATAGAAGGGAATCAAATTTGAGTACATGGTTTCTCTTACACGAGAAACCTAAAATATAAATAGAGTAAAATAAAGGAGAGATGGTAGGAAACAGAGAGGCAGACTTTTGGAGATGGGGAAAGTGATGCGGGAAAGAAAGAGAGGAGCAGGGTAGAGGGGTGACAGGAAAAACAATCAAGAAGTGATATACATATGTATGAATTCCCCCAAATGAAAGTAGGCATTATATATATTGCAAACATATACCAATACAAAAGCACAAATAGGCTATTTTCTAACAGTAGAAAGAGAATGAACACAAACAAGTAAAAAATAAATTCATAATTTTGGACAGCAATATAAGAGCTATGAAGAAAGTGAAGCAAGGTAATACAACACAGAATGAAGTAGAGGCAGTAGGCTAGCCAGGCTATGACAGCTTAGCTGGCAAAAGTGGGGATGGTGATAATGTTTCAAGATGAGGGGTGACCAAGAGAAATGACTGAGGTGGCATGCTCAATGAGAAGGAGACTTGTGTAAGTTCTAGTCAGAGATGGACAGAGCACATGACTAGAATGCTCTTTTAAGTATTAGAGAAAGATATCAGAGAGTTTTAAATTGGGAGACTGATGTGATATGGCCTACCTTTAAAAATGATCACTTTCCCTGCTATTTAAAGAATGCATTAGAAGTAGTCAAGAAAGGAGACATGAGGATCTACCAGGAATATACTGTAGTAGGGAAGTGATGATGGCAGATAAGCCTTAAGTTTAACTAGTAGGAACAGAGGCAGGAATGCGGAATAGGGACATATTTTAGAGGCAGCACTGACAAGATTTGTTGACAGAATGGTTGTGCAGAGTTAGGGAAAGTGAGCAATCAGGAATGCCTCCTAGGTTTAGAGTGAATGGTTGTAATATCAGAAATAAGTGAAAGACTAAGGGAGAAACAAATTTGAGGAGAAATTCAGATAAGGAGAATATTAAGAAGGAGAGCTACAATATAATGATATCCACAATGACATGTGCATTAAATTCTGGTACTTCACAAAATTGTAGGGAATACGATTACTGGTTAGACAATTTTTCTTATTTTAAAAGTGAGCCTGTAGTATGTGTGTGTGGGGAGGGTACTGATGGAAAAAAATAAATGTATACAAATGTACACACATACAAATCTTCCAGAATGAAGCCAATTAATTTTTATAACTGATGTACACTAATAAAAAAAAAATCAGGCTATCTCACACCTGAGACCATTTTCATTTTATACTGCTCCAAAAGTGTTTCCAAAAATGAAAACTAAAGTCATCAAATTCTGGCCTTACATGCACACATATTATTTTATACAGCATTTCTAGCAACTTTGAAGAAATGTGTAGTGAACTGAATTGTTCCATTATAGTTAGAGATCATGGTAACCTAACCACAGCAGGATGATGAGTAGGTCTGAGAACAATTGAAATAGTTATGCATCTTAAATTTAAATTACACTATTTTCTTCTTTTAAAATCTCTACTGTACATACATATATAGAACAGCTGTGTGTATTTCTCTTTGATATTACTGACACAAGAAATCAATACGCTCTAAACATCATTCTTAAGGAATGATCAGCACTTTCTCATGATGTTTTTATTTTAAATTGAATAATCATTACATACCTGTAGCACATCACCTAGGTCTGCTGTACTGATATCTGGGTCCTCTGTGGTGTTGAAAGGCACAGGAGTTATTCGTACAAGAATGAGCACTCTAGGTTCTGGATACCTCCATAACATCATCCCTGGGCTATCTTCAGTTTCGTTATGAAACAAGACTTCATAGGCACCAGGCAGTTTCAAAGGTTCTGTCAAATGGCAACAGAATAATAATATGCTTTTGAGGGAACATGTAACATGTTAGGGGCTGCACACTCCTATTGGATATGATCCCCATACTCTGCGAGCCTGTGGCAGGAGGATCACAAGTTTGAGGCCAGCTGGGCAACTTAGCAATACCCTGTCTGAAAATAAAAAAAGAAAGGGCTGGATGTAGCTCTGTGCAAAGCCCTCAGTTCAATCCCTAGTACCATGAAAAAAACAAACAAACAAACAAACAAACAAACAACAACAACAAAAATAATTCCCCAAACATACACAGACATTAATATACATGTTGGTTTCTTAAGAGTAGGAAATAAATATAGGAAGAAAACAATATAAAGAAAGTAGAGGTATAAAGTTGATCATTTTTTATGGATTGAGACAAAAAAATCAATAATTTTCAAGTTTGAATTTGATAATGTACTACTTTATACTGCAAGTATGAATGCACTTTATAAGCGAACTTGATGTGGCATCATTTAGTGACCATTTATTTAAACATGCATGCACATACATCCCTTCATACCAAAGCTGTTATTACTTACCAGCATCTTGTATATACTGAAAAAGACCTGTCCGTAGATCATCTGAACTTTGTTCACTTTTAAAGGTTTGATTCTTTTCCATAGATGGCATCCGAGGCACTGGTTCTGAAACTTGTGCTTCAAAATTTCTTTCCTCATTAAGATATCCACTGAGTAATTCATGTAGGAGAACTAAGCAATTCAAATGTTCTTGACCCCAGAAGACCTGTAAATTTACGTGAAAAATTCTATTGGCCTTTAAATACAAACATTTCTTGAGCATAATTAAGTACAATCATATTTGAACTGATGTAATTTGATAATCATCAATTTAATTACTGATAAACTCTAATTGCTAAATATTTAACTAATAAAAGAATGAAATTCTATTACTTGAATACATATATAAGAAAATTACTGTTTTCATCTATTGTGTAAATAGCATACATTTATTTATTTACTTATTTATTTATTTTTGAGGCTTGAACCCAAGGCCTATATACGCTTTGTAAATGTCCTACCACTGAGTGCCAGTGCTAGACTAATGATGAAATTACATTCAAGTATATTTATGAATTTATTTAGCTAAGATAACAAAGAACATGTATTATGGTGCAAGAGAAGGTAAGGGAGATCCTCTAGGCCAACAATGGCAAAACTTTTAGAGCCATGATAACAAACTCTGTGCTGCTGCAAACATGCCATAGGTTACTATTACTGCTCTAGGCCAAAATGTCAATAAAATAGTAAGAACCTTGTAGAATAGCTTTGAACATTTTGTCATGAGATTAAATAAATAATCCTCATTATGGAATTCCTTTCTGTGTACTTTTACACTTCAGAGAAAAAGAGAAGAACTTATTCAATACACTTAAAACTTAGAAGGCTCCAACTTCTGTGTTAGTGAGACGGCACCAATACATGAGACTGCACAGTCCCTCCCCAAGAATCAACTGCCCAGGCGCTACAAGAGAGTTTCAGAGCAAAAGCATGTGGAGTTTCCCGTACTGGAGTAGAATTTTTCTTTTTCTGAATAATGTTTTTTGAATAATACTGTATAATAGATGTATGACCAGTAGGTCCTAGTGATGAATTGCAGATTTTAAAATATCAATAATGATAAATTTATCTGAATATACTGAGTAAAGACAATATAACTATTAATCCTAAAAGAACCAATTAATTTAGAGAAGAGCAAAGAACATACAGAGAGAAAAAAGTAGCCCTATACTTCATAGGTAAGTTTAAAATCTTAGGCTTAGGTTGTCCGAAATAAGAGATACAACACCAACTCTACCTTTTTACTTTCATCAATATTATTTTTATTAGATTCTGAAAAAAGAGATAATTAAGTAGTCAAGCTGGGGAGAAAAACAGATTTCAGCCTTTAAATTGTCAAGAGACTAGAATGTAGTCAATGACTAGAATGTAGAGAAGGTACACTTGTTTTTGCTCTTATTTCTGGTTTAAATGTGTAGTTGTTTGATGTGTTGGAAGCAAAACAAAACCATGTTACTAAATATGTTAAGATTGATGATGATACTGAAAATCTCAAAGACAATACAGAATGTTAGTTATCAGAATCTTCCCAAATCTTGATCTGTGTCAGTAAGACTGGTGAAAAGTTGAGGCAATACAACTTTAAGATAAAACATGAAATTCATATTTCATTACTGACAAATTAATCATTTCAGTTTTCTTTTTTTAAAAGGGAAGATGACGATTTTTTTTGTAATTACAAAAGCAAAATTTTAAACTTCAGTCATTTGAATAATTGCAAGAGCAGACTAAAGGCTTAATCCTCACAAATCATTTCAATTTTCTATCATTGTGAATCTTGTAAGGTTTTTGGATTTATGACAAGTTTGAATGATAGATATTAAATCACATATACACTAGATTAAAAATCTATCTATATATCATCAAGAAATAAGATGGATATTCTCACATATTCCATACTTGGCTATCAGGCAAATACATAAGAGAGCAATGTGACATACAGTTTAGTCATCAGACATCAACCTAACAAAATGGCTATTATAAAATGTCTTATAAATTGCCAGTGATATGGTGTTTGAAACACACTGACTAGTTTATAATTACAAAAAGTCTACACATGAAGAAAAGCTTGAGGCCGGGGATTTAGTTCAGTGGTGCTGCTGCCTGCCTTGCAAGCGCAAGGTCCCCAGTTTCATCCCCAAACCAAACCAAACCAAAGAAAACAAACAAACAAACAAACAAACAAAGCTTGATCCAGAAATTCTCCTAGTTATATACCCAAGGATAGGAAAGTATATATTCATAAAAAAGTGTATGCAGATGTACATGCCAGAGTTATTTGTAAAAGCCCAAAGTGGAAAGACCCCAAATATCTCTCAAGTGACAAGTAAGTGGTAAGGAAAATGTTCTAAAACTGTGGTAGTGAACACAGAACTCTGTAAATGTACTAAAAAACCAGAATTTTTACTCTTAAATAGATAAACTATACCTCAATAAAGCTTTAAAATACTTACAAAGATAGCAATCTGGCAATACTTTTTTTTTTTTTTTTAAACACAGACTTAAAATGTAGTGAAACAGTTAAAAAAGAAAAGCTACTCAAAAGCTTATAGGAAAACAGGGCTATTCCCCACAGACCTGTAGCAGACCACCTCTTAGATCAATGGATATTTTTGGTAGAGACTGTTCAGTGCTTGGATTGCCACTGTGTTTACACCATTTAGCTTCCAGATTGGCAGTAACACAAAGTGGTCCTATCAAAATCCGACTTCTTTCTTTGAGACTTGTTTTAAGGAGAAAATCATTTATGCTGAGTAGAAATGATGATCCAAGAATTATGCCTAAAAATAAATAGAAAGAGCTGTATATTATAATTATTCTTGAGAAAACATTTGAGAAAGGGCTATCTGCGTTTTTCAAGAGTCAGTTCACTCTTTGTCACTTCAGTTAGCTTTCCACTAGTTTCATGTCATTTATACATAATTTTGGTTATGAAGCAGGTATACCTCATTCACATTCCTAACAAGGCAATATTTGCCAAAACATCATGACATTTTCCATGTGTGAACATTTATGTTTTATGAGTAGAGACGTTTTCATTAAATTGTGCAAGATTTAAAAAAAAACTACATTAAGAATAAGAACAGCTGCTTCATTTGTCTGTAGTTAATATGATGGGAAAGGGCAATTTTCTATGATTTCTTACAGCAACAGAATACACTGTATTACTTTGCTAGACACTCAGCCTTTTGAATGGCCCATGTTAAAATTCAAAACAATCAAAATATATAACATGTGTTTTTAAAAAAACTTAGTTTAATCCAAACTTCACACATCATAACCACTTGAAGTTTACAAAGTCTTAAAAACAGATAGTGGCAGGTTAGATTTATGAGAAAAACTATATGTTGTAGTTCAAAGTAAATATACGCAGAAAAGGAATACACTTTAAAATGTAGGTTTTCTTTTGAACTTAAAGTAGGAGTGAGGATCAAAACCTTTTCATAAAACCAACAGCACACTTTAAGATATTTAGCTGCAAAGTTAGCGTGGTGAGTTCACTTTCCTCTCAAGGAGCTCATATTCTAAATTGTCATTGTGAATATTGAATTTCACCAGACCATGTTTGTAATGCTATTTGATCCTTTAAAAAGATGAAAGATTAAAAAACACCTTAGGCCCACAGTATACACATGTTTCAAAGTACAGTACCCACATTGACTTTTCAATTCTAGGGAGATTTGAAAACTTCATATATGTTGCATGTTTCTACTGAGGTAATACTATACATAACTTCTAATTATCCACAGAAGGCATCATACTCATAAATACATTTTCACTAAGCCTTTGGTTAAAAAATTATCAAGGTAGAAATCGATTTATTTCATTAAATATGCCACTGAATTTTTATTTGATTTATACAATTCTCAATTCAAATCTACATTTCACTTTGAAAAACTCGGAAAAAAAATAGATTAAAAAATACTTAAGAATCAAAGCCCAACTTTTCTAATGGGGTTTACAATGTAAGTTATAACTTCCTGACAACTGTATTACATTTCTTGATTTCTCAACAGCAAACATCTGTTAAATGAGATGCATCAATTCATCATGCAGAAATTTTCATAATGGGATTATTAAAGTACAGGTTTAATTCAGAACAATCATCTATAAAATGAGCATTAAGGGCCTGTCAGAATTACAACACCCCTTATCCTCAAATGCATGCATCTTTCTATTACTCTATACTGACATACTCAGTAATTTAATAGTAATCTTAATGTAAATGTCTAACTAATCCCTGAAACACCCAAAGGCCTCCTAAATTGGTTAGAAGATTTAATGGCTACTAGTATTTCTTCAAGAACCTAGACTGAAAATAACTGGGGTTTTTAAAGGGCTCTCCTTTGAATAAATTCCCAAGATCTATCTCCCTTCCTTCTTCTTTTCTTCCTTCCCTCCCTTCCTCCCAGCTACTCTCCTTGCTTTCTTGTGGTACCAGAGAGTGAACTCAGTGCCTTAACACTGAACTACATCCCCAGCCCTTTTTGTAATTTTTATTTTGGGACAGGGTCTTGCTAAGTTTCATAGGCTGGGCTTGAATTTACAATCCTCCTAAGCCTTCCTTGGTATTGGGATTGCAGGTGTGAGCTACCACGAATGGCTTATTTTTATTTCATTCTTTGCCATTCCACTTTTTGGCCTAACTTTATTATTTTAAATCATCACAGAAGAGAGACTTTACTAATTCAGGCAACTGACAGGGATGGATACATTATCTTTAAGCAATAGACTCAGCATCCTAGAGATGAGCACCATCTTGTTTCGAGAAGTTCTGGGTACTGTTCTATAGCTATTCAGAATCTGTTCTACTGAATTGAACTGACAGTTTCGAATACGATCCTATTTTCAGTCACATCAATGTTTAATTGGTAAACAGAAATTAAAAGTGCTTAAATCTTTGACATTCGCCAGTTTGCATTATTATAAGACAAAATAATAGGACCAGATGGAAGAGACTTCAAAAGCCACCCACTCTAAGTCTCCAACTTAAAATATTTTTTCTTCTATTTTGTGCTAATTTTAGATCTACACAAATGTTGCAGAAATGTAGAACTCCCATATATCCTAACGCAACTATATAACAAGAGTATATATTGAACTTAGCCAATTTATACTGATATAATAAAACTATTGAGTTAAAATTGCTAGTTCCCTCATGAAGGTCCTTTCTTTGGTCCAGTATCCAACCTAAGATTCCCATTTAATTTAGGTGTCACATCTCTTTAGTTTTTAATATGCAACAGATCTCCAGTTTGCTTTGTCTTCCATGACCTTATGACTTCTGTACAGTCCAAACCAACTATTTTGTACAGAATCTGTCAATTTGAGTTTATTTGAAGTTTTCTTATGAGCAAAATATTGTGGATTTTTGGCAGGAATCCTACAGAAGTGATGCTGTTAGTGTATCTTATTGGAGTATGTGGCAGTGCTATTTCATTACTGTATTGACTGGTCACACGGCTAAAGAAGATTTTGCCACTTTGCTGTTACTATTTTCTTTTCTGTAAATAAATAGATTGGGGCGATAATTCTTGGAGATTCAGCAGACATCTTTTTCTACTAATGTTAGAGTCAATGAGACTCATCTGAAATGATTTTTTTTTTATTACTGTGGTGTGTGACACTGCTAGTTTCCCATTTCATTTATGCAGAACTGACTGTCTCTTCTACTTAATTTACTAGTTTGCTTATTGACATTAGCATGAAACCCTGAATATTTATTTTATAAGTTATAATCTAATATTACCATTACTTACTTTGAAATTGAAATTGAACCAGCTTTTGGCTACTGGGGGCTCATTTAAATTGGTTCTTGTGTTCTTTGGCTATACCTTCATCATTATTTAAGGCCCTCTTAAGTTCCTGGCCACAGGATATTTCAGGCTCAATTTGTATTTTCCCAACCTACTTAGGCATCAGCCATTTCTCAGCGAAGCTTTGGATTTTTTTGTTGCAGATGATATATAGAAACCAAAATCTGGCTGATAAGTATGTTCATTGTTCCTAGGATATTGCTGTTTCTAGACTCTCCTTGCAAAAAGTGCTAAAAAGTATATGTGTACTAATCCATGTATACACTCCTGTATCTTCTCATCTGTAAATATATTAAAAACCTTGAGTTCATGCTGACATGTCTGATTCTAACTGAGCACCACAGGAAAGTTTCTAGCCTTTTCCCTTTATTTTTCAGTCTGTAATTGTGAAAAACTCGCTGAGTACCCCCTTCTGATATGTTTGCTTCACATCTACTCTAAAACATCATTTGGAGTGGTCAAAATTAAAGCAAAAGAACTAAGACAGACATAAAGGACAACTTCAGGGAAACAAAAGTAATTAATTATTGAAAAGACTATTAACAGAAAGAGCTCACAATTCTTTCTGAAAGTCTCTTTAAGAATGGGTTTGACAGGGTGCTGGGGATTTAACTGAGTGGCATTGCTGCCTGACTCGCAAAAATGGATTGGACAGTGAAAGCGATTTAGCTCAGTGGTGCAACTGCCTGCCTGGCAAGTGCAAGGTCCTGAGTTCAATCGCCAGTACCAAAAAACAAAAAACAAAAAACCAGAATTGATTTGACAAAAATCTGAAGCACACCAAAGAATGAGATTACCTTCCTCATGCTACAGCAGCTTTCTTTCATTTGTACAAGAATATCTGCAAACATAAGATTAAAATCTCAGCCCTTCAGAAATAAAATACTTCAGAAATAAAATAAAGAAGTACTGTCTTTATTATCTGAGGTTTTGCCAAACAAATCTAGTATTGGAAATAAAATTAGTATGATGTATGAATACTCAGGAAGTTGCATACCTTCTCTCAAAGAAGAACTTAAGTAGAGTTAATAGAAGGTTCTTTTTAACTCCTAAAGGTTTATAAGTATTTATTGACTGTGATAGGAAAGGATGAAAAAAAATGTCTAGAGTTGGAGCACTAAAAAAAAAAATGTTTACAGATTTTGTGTCACTGTATACTTGACTAACTCCATGAACATTCACTTCCTGTCATACAAATTCTATTCTTTTTTGCTGGAGCAAACAGAATGGGATAGCTCGATTTCTCAAGAAAGAAATATTAAGGTAGTGTGTTAACTTTGTATTAATAAAATGAAATGTCTGAGATAATTAAGTTACATAAAGAAAAGGTCTGCTTCAGCTCCCAGTTTTGGAGGTTCCACTCCATGACTGATTGACCCTACTTTTTTGGGTCTATGGTGAGTCAGCACAGCACAGTGGGAAGGAACATGTAGCAGAATAAACTGCTCACCTCTTGGCAGAACAGCACTGCACACCTCAAGACCAAGGAGGGGATAAAGGTGCAGGGAAAGTGAGAAGGGTAGGGGAAAGGTAATAAGGGGAAAAATATGAGAAAATGAAAAAATGGAAATAAGGTGTTTGTAAATAGGGAGGGGAGGAGGGGCTAAAGGGAGGGCGGGGACAAAATGAGAACCAAGACCTGACACGTGAAGGTACAAGATCCCAATGATGAATGTAACTATACTGTATACCTAAAATGTACCAATAAACTCAATGAGAGAGAAACAAACAAACAAACAAACAAACAAAGACCAAGAAGGGGGCAGAAAAGAGAAAGAGACTTAGGTCCTGCCATCCTGAGGCCATGCCCCTGATGACTTGACTTCTCTAGTAAGGCCCACCTAGTCATGCTCCACACCACCTCTCAATAGTTCCATGCTGGAGACCAAGCCTTTAACATATGAATATCAAACATTCAAACTATAGCAGTAGGAACCGAAACATCTGGAAAATGGCATAGAATT